CCCCATGGGAGACCAGGAGAAGCACCTGGCTCCTGCCATCGGATCAGCGTGGTGTGCCGGCCGCTGTGTGCTGGCCGCAGCGTGCCGGCCACGGCGGCCACTGGAGGGTGAACCAATGGCAAAGGGAAGACCTTTCTCTCTGTCTGTCTCTCTCTCACTGTCCACTCTGCCTGTCAAAAATAAAAAAAATAAAAACAAGTGAATGAAGTGACATTTTGAATTATTATCTAGTCTCCTGGAGCCTGGTTCTTGCTGAGGAGTGAGATAAAATCTTTTTTTTTTTGAACTTGGCAATCTGAATCCAAATTCTGGACTTCATAATGTTCCCTCGGGATACAGCCACAACGCCAGAGCATTGCTGGAAACAAGTACTTTGGTGGCAAAAGAAGAAAGAGGAAAAAAAATGAAAGAGAAAAACCACATTTTGATGTGATGAGCTAACCTTTAAGTTTAAGAAAAGAAGCAGCCAGTAGAAATGGACGCAGTCTTTCCTTAAGCAGCAAATGCTTAATAACTCATTTAAGAAATCTTTTAATCCACAGTCTTCTTTTTATGTTTTTAATGTTTTCTTCTCTGAAGTGTGATCTGGTTAAGTATATTCACTAAATGCTTGACTCCCTAATTAGCTTCTTTAGCTGCATTACATAATTATATAACCAGGCTTTGTACTTCACTCAAACATTTATTTTTTTAATAACAGCCTTATTCAGATATAATTCACATGTCATATAATTCACCTACTTAGAGTGTATAATAAATTGTGCAACCATTACCACAATCAATTGTTGAACATTTTCCTCACCCCCCAAAAAATTTTATACCCATTGGCAGTTACTTCCTCTTTCCCCCAAGCCTCCCAGCCCAAGGAAGTTCACCTTTTGTCCCTAAAGTATGCCTGTCTGGATGTTTCACATAAGTTGAATCATACAGTATGTTGGTTTGTGTGTTGTTTTTGCTTGTTTGCTTGCTTCTTTGTTTGGTCAGTGACTTCTTTCACTCAGCATAATGTTTCCAGTGTTCATTAATATTGTAGCATGTATCTTTATTACTTTTATTCTAATTTTCCATTTTATGGCTAAACCACATTTTATTCATCCATTCATCTGTTTATTGACACTCTGATTCCATTTTTTTTAAAAGGTATATTTATTTAATTGAAAGAGTTACACAGAGAGAGGGGAGGCAGAGAGAGGTCTTCCATCCAATGGTTCACTCCTCAATTGGCTGCAACGGCTGGACCTGCGCCAATCTGAAGCCAGGAGCCAGGAGTTTCCTCCAGGTCTCCCACGTGGGTACAGGGGCCCAAGGACTTGGGCCATTCTCCACTGCTTTCCCAGGCCACAGCAGAGAGCTAGATCGGAAGTGGAGCAGACAGGTCTGGAACCGGCACCTATATGGGATGCTGGCGCTTCAGGCCAAGGCATTAACCCGCTGCACCATAGTGCTGGCCCCGATTCCATTTTTTGATGTGCGTAAATATTTCTAGCTGTGAGTATGTTGTGCAAGTTTATGTGGGCATATATTTTCATTTCTTGTGTGTGTGTACTCACGAATGTGTACTTAGGAGTGGAGTTCCTGAGCCCTGTGGTGATTCCATACTTAATCTTCTGTAGCACCAACAGACCAGGGTAGTTGTACTAGTGCACAGCCCTACCAGAAACATTTGAAAGTTCCATTTTCTCTACATCCTTGCCAACACTAGTTATTGTCGTGTCTTTTTTTTTTATTATTGCCATCCTAGTAGGTGGGAAGTATATCTCATTTTGGTTTTGATTTGTATTCCCTAGTGATGAATGATGCTGGGCACCATTTCTTGTTTCCTTTTGAGTATTTTTATGTCTTCAGTAGAGAATTACCTATTCAAATTCTTGGCCCATTTTTAAAAAATTGTATTTACATTCTTGAATTCTAAGAGTTCACAATATGTTTTGGATAAAAGTCTTATCATGTATGTTTACAAATATTTTATCTGTGGGTTATCTTTTCACTTTCTTGATGGCTTTCTCTGATGTAAAAGTTTTTAATTGTGAAGTCCAATTTATTTACTTTTTTTTGCATTTTGTGTCATGGTGTTATTGCTATTAAACCATTGTCTAATCCACAGTCACAACATTTACTCCTATGTTTTCTTCCAGGAAGTTTGTGATTTTAGCCCTTACATTTAAGTCTTTGATCCTTTCTGAGTTAATTTTTGTGTGTGGTGAAGGAGTGGCCCAACAACGCCTGTGTGTTTTTTTGTTTTGTTTTTTGTTTTGCATGTGGCTATCCAATTGATTGTTTCAGAGTCAGCTGTTGAGAAGACTGTGATTTTCTCTTGAACTCTCTTGACCACCTTCTTGAAAATCGACTGCCTGTAAATGTGAGGGTTTATTTCTAGATTCTCAGTTCTCTTGCGTGGATCTATATGTCCATACACTTACCTTTTCTTTCATTCATTCTGTAAAGATTTACTGGGCACCTCTTTGTGCAACAGTTAAGCTTAACATATCCAGGTTACTTGCTTTTTGGAACCAAACCATCCCTCTTCAGAGCCTAGATTTTCTTTAAATAACCCATTCCAGCAGGATATAACGTCTCTTTTTCTTAGTGAGATATGAAGTGACTTCTCGTAGTCAAACTTTCCGAGATAACAGTAGATGGATCTGATTTGTACATGGTCTTTTGGCAAGGTGTAGTCTGGGCAACTGTACAGGTCTAAATGGCAGAAGAGTGAGTGTTCTTTTAGAGGGCTCGGGCAAATGAGCACTGCCCTAGAACAGTTCAGTGGCTTCGGAAGGTGTGGTTAGTTTTAAAGTGGAAGAAGAATCCGTGACCATGATGAGGGCTTCCTGGTAGGTGATGGAGTTGCCTACGTGCAACCTGAAAGGCCCAGGGAGTCGGGAGGTCTAGGTGTTGGCTCCAAAGAGGACATAGAGACGCGGAGGGGACTGTTGGATTGAAGATCTGTGACTCTGCTTCCAAATTTTAATTTTGGTAGCGGTTCCTTGCCAGTGTAAAGTTACAAGGATCATATGTGTATAAAGTTAACTGAAATAGATCAGTAAAAAAATAAGAATGGGAATAGGAGAGGGAGGAGAAAGAGGGGTGGGAGAATGGGTAGGATGGCAGGTACAACGGGAAGAATCACCATGTTTCTAAAGTTGTAATTAAGAAATATATGAAGTTTGTATTCCATAAGTAAAAGGTTTCTTGGGAAAAAAGTTATAAAAGGAAAATTATGTTTACAAATAATGGCTTATTGCTAGACTTAAGACTAGTTAAAGGAGCCAAGAATTCTATACAATGGTGCTGGCTAATTTTTAGAGATTGTGAATGTAGGAATTGAAGGCAATACCAAATCAGGAGACAGTTGGCAGAATTTTGTGATTATCTAAAAATAATTAAAGATGATCCTAGTATTACAGCTTGAAGACATTGGGAGGATAAGTGTACCAGTACTTGTAGTGTACAGGATGATAAGAGATGGTTTAGGCCGGCGCCGCAACTCAATAGACTAATCCTCTGCCTGCGGCGTTGGCACACCAGGTTCTAGTCCCAGTCGGGGCGTTGGATTCTGTCCCGGTTGCCCCTCTTCCAGGCCAGCTCTCTGCTGTGGCCAGGGAGTGCAGTGGAAGATGGCCCAAGTCCTTGGGCCCTGCACTCGCATGGGAGACCAGGAGAAACACCTGGCTCCTGGCTTCGGATCAGCACGGTGCACCGGCCGCAGCAGCCATTAGAGGGTGAACCAACGGCAAAAGGAAGACCTTTCTCTCTATCTCTCTCTCTCTCTCTCTCACTGTCTACTCTGCCTGTCAAAAAAAAAAAAAAAAAAGAAAAAAAAGAAAAAAAAAGAGATGGTTTAAAAGATAAATTTTGGGGCTGGTGCTATGACACAGTGGGTTAAAGCCCTGACCTGCAGCACTGGCATCCCATATGGGCACAGGTTCGAGTCCCAGCTGCTCCACTTCCTATCCAGCTCCCTGCTAATGTGCCTGTGAAAGTAATAGAAGATGACTCAAGTGCTTGGGCCTCTGCACACACATGGGAGACCCAGAATAAGTTCCTGGCTCCTGGCTTTGGATCAGCTCAGCTCCGGCCATTGTGGCCATTTAGGGAGTGAACCAGGAGATAGAAGACCTCTCTCTGTGTGTCTCTACCTCTCTTTGTAATTCTTTCAAATAGATAAAATAAATCTTAAAAAATAAAATATAATAAATTTTTATCTTGCTATGCTGTTTGGCAAAAATATTTAAGTAGATAATAAAAAACACCCCACTAATCATTAGAGGTAATAATATATTAGGGCTTCTATCAGGGAGCTTTCAACATTCATTAGATACAAATAGGACTGATTTCCTATCTGTTCTTATGTACTTTGAAGATGTGATTTACTTATTTACTAATTTGAAAGGCAAAGACAGAGAGACATCTTCATCTGCTGGTTCACTCCCCAAATGACCCCAGCCAGGGTTGGGCCGGGCTGCAGCCAGTTTCTCGCACGCGCAACAGGGACTCAAGTACCTGAGCCATCTTACGCCACTTTCCCAGGCACAGGAAACTGAATGAGAAAAAGAGCAGCCAGGACTCGAACCAGTGCTCTGCTATGGGGCGCCAGCATCACAGATGGTGGCTTACCCCACCGCACCAAGCGCCAGCCCCAGTTGTTGCCTACTTTGAAACCCACATAATAAAATGAACTTTCAGGGTCTAATTTTGTTAGGCAGTGTTTTTCTATATGATAAGTACAAAAATATTGTTCTTAGTGGTCTTGACAGGCTTAAGAAAGAGAACAAAATTCCACAGTTTTGTTGTGCCAAAATATATTACTGTTTTGAGAGGGGAAGGAAAGAAGTTGTTGCTATTGACTACATTGAAAACGTGTGCATTAGCAATATAGGTAAGCTTCAGTTGCTCAAGATGGTTTTGGCTGTAAACATTTACCCTTGAACGCTTGAGAATACTTGTTTTAGGTTGAAACTTAATAAAGCATGTTTATTTACACATCTTAAAATTTCTTTCAGGAATTGTCCCATCTTCTGTTGTCCTGACCTCTTTCCAGGTGATGTCAAGAGTTTTTCTCATATGGGCGGTAACACACAGCGTCAAAGAGGTAAGCGCTCCTGTAGCCTGTCAGCACTCCCACACGCTCGGCAGCTTGCCTTTTCACATACCTGTGACCACTGCACGTGGGACTCCAGCTCACACTGATGCGGCAGAAATGAAGTCTGCATTTCGCTGTGGAAGTCGGGTCAGGAGTGGGAAGCTTACCCCGGCTAGGCAGTGCTGTGAGGGAGAAGACTGGTGGGCTGTGGAGCACTGTGGCCCTCAGCCCGAAGAGGTGGAGGGTTGGTGTGGGCGTGGTCTGCAGCTCAGTTCCCTGCTTCTGTTGTCTTATTTGTATCCCGTGCACTGACTCCTGGGCATCTGCACCTGGGTGATGTCCATTCTTTATGGGAACAGGAAAAAAACAAGCTTACTTCTACACAGCCCACAAGAGCTAATGGATTTGCCAAATGTGCCATGTCTGGCGGTTCTGACTGGCAGATACCCTGTTGGGGCCTAGCAGGCTCGGAACCTGGACAGGCCCAGGGATACTCACTGCAAGAACTGGGAGTGCACCGGCATCACCCCAGGTGGGGACCCAGAGCTAAGCTTCCATCTCGTGGAGCAGGTGGTGGTTTTCGGCTCCCTCGGGGTCAGTTCTTCTTGCCAGTGGCATCTTGTGGGAGGGCGCCGGCAAGGACTTGTCAGTGTTTCCGTCCCAGCAGCCAATCACCTGCGTGCCTGGATTCTTGCAAGCTCATGAAAGTGCTCATCCAGTCACATTATTCCCATGTTCTCTATTCTGAAAACCCTGTCGAAACATTTTGTTTTTTAGGATTTTTGTTTTGTTTTGTTTTTGACAATTTCATTTCATTTGCATTTCAACAAATGAGATTTTCTTTTAACTTTTTTGTTGGTCTGTGCTATACATACAGCAGAATGCACACAGCTGATGGGTGTTTAGCCAGAGTGAAATCAACGGTGGTTAATAAGCTAGTATTGCTGTGCGTGCACTGGGGGCTTTGTTGCTTCATCTGTCTCACCCCCTGAAGATACCTAAGCTGCCCAGGTGGGAAGAATATGCCTACTGTGTGTGTGTGTGTGTGTGTGTGTGATCATGTTTCTTTTCTAAAAAGTTTGAGAAAACCAGGCAAATGATTTTGAAAATAGCATGCGGCCCTTTGTGCTCACTGGTGTCTATTGAGGTGGGCAGTAGCTTTATTTATGATACCACATCATGTCTTCATTCATTTCCAAGTCCCCTCCACAAGTTGCTGCTTCCTCCCTTCCTTTTGTGTATATGCCATTTCCTTTTCATTGTAAGCAGCAGCTCATAATTGTATCTCACAGTGATCTTAAGGGACCTGAAATTTTTTCCTAGTGGTAACTCATTCAGATCCTTAAATAAATCATTATGCACTTTTAGTGATTAAATGTTAGGTACATGGAGCCAAAGCACTGTGCACTGTGGAGCGTTCAGTCACTTTGCCAATGTATTCAGGTATTGATTGTCCGGGTGTAATGGTCCAGCTGATAGGATATTCAGGACCTCAGCTTCTCTTCTCGCTGCTGCATCAGTGGCCACTCATCTGCTTATCAGCTTGTCTGCCACAGGGATAGACCACTAAGTCAGAAATGCCCACAAGGGCAGGCATCTGGCCTAAGGGTCAAGACAGTCACTTGAGCTGTGACCACTGCCTCCCAGGTCTGCATTAACAGGAAGCTGGAGTCAGGCGCAGACCGGTCAACACCCAAATTCTAGCTGATATCCTAACTGCTAGGGTGAATGCCCACTCCCTCCACGAGACTTTTTAAAGATCATTTGCCATTTCATGTAAAGCATCGCAAGTTAGCTTTATAGTAATTTACATTATATACTCATTACATTTGCAGATTTGAAATTATTTCTTGTGACCAGAGTGACCCAGTCTCTGCTAACATTAGTATATCATTTTCCGAAGAACTCATGCAGTACATCCTAGCATCCGTCGCCTCCCGTGTTCCCCGTACCCTGTTCCTGTGCAGATCCATGTTCTTTTCTCCTTGTTCCCCTTTTCACTGATCAGAACTCCTCGTTCACTCTGTTCCTTCCCCGGCACTGCCCACAGTCTCTGAAAAGCCTGTTGCTGTGGCATGCCAGAGGCCGGCTGCTGGCTGCTGGCTGCTGGCCCCTGGCCCCTGTTCCTCGGCCCCTCAGCATGGCCGGATGCAACTTTTCCTGCCTTAGGGTTTTGTGTTAGCCTCAGTTCAGCGTGGTCCGTAGAGCGTTACACCAGACTTTGCACGCCATTTCCTGAAGCATCTTCGCTGCTTTATCATCCTCCTATTGAGCTCTGCCTCCCTCAGTGGTGAGAACCAGGTGACCCATGCGTACGCAGATGGACCTCAGCTCAGCAAGATGTGGCTGTGGGCCCCGGCTGTCTCCCTAAGCAGTGCTCCTGTTCCTGTCGTGCTGCTGTACTTGTAATTCCCGATTTCTTTCTGCACCATAGTCCTCTCTGAAGGACACGAGAAGGGGCCTTCGTCTTGGTCACATTACATTTGTGTTTGGACTTCGGCGCCATGCTCTCCGCTTACATTTTCTGTGCTTGTTTCCCGTAGTTTTCTGTAACTAAGGTATGGCCTGTATGCCCTGTAGACTAGACCCTATTGTTTCCACATTGAGATGTATTTCCTTGTAAGGAACCCTGTAAGACACACATCCTCATTTATCATCTTAATTCTCTACCCCATGAAGTGCTAGTCACATAATGTTACCATGTACATTGTGGAACTAAAGAGTGATCAGATGGTATTGCTTTAGAATACGTAAGGATCTACCCGTTAGCTAGTATGCACTTTGGTAAGCACAATATTTTTTTGAGGGGGTGGTTTAAAGATTTATTTATTTGTTTGAAAGGCAGAGTTACAGAAAGGCAGAGAGAGAGAGAGGGGGGGGGGTCTTCTATTTACTGGTTTACTCCCCTGATGGCCTCAATGGCTGGAACTAGGCCAATCTGAAGCCAGGAGCTAGGTGTTTCTTCTGGGTCTCCCATGTGGGAGCAGGGGCCCATCTTCCACTGCTTTCCCAGTCCACAGCAGAGAGCTGGATTGGAAGTGGAGCAGCCGGGAATCAAACTATGCCCATATGGGATGCTGACACTGCAGATGGTGGCTTTACCTACTACGCCACAGCACAGGCCCCACACAATTTTTTTTTTTTTTTTTTTTTTTTTTTTTTGACAGGCAGAGTGGACAGTGAGAGAGAGAGAGACAGAGAGAAAGGTCTTCCTTTGCCGTTGGTTCACCCTCCAATGGCCGCCGCGGCCAGCGCGCTGCGGCCGGCGCACCGCGCTGATCCGATGGCAGGAGCCAGGAACCAGGTGCTTTTCCTGGTCTCCCATGGGGTGCAGGGCCCAAGCACCTGGGCCATCCTCCACTGCACTCCCTGGCCACAGCAGAGGGCTGGCCTGGAAGAGGGGCAACTGGGACAGAATCCGGTGCCCCGACTGGGACTAGAACCCGGTGTGCCGGCGCCGCTAGGCGGAGGATTAGCCTAGTGAGCCGCGGCGCCGGCCCCCCACACAATATTAAAGAAAGAATTTTCTATATACTCACAAGCTTTTTATTAACCTAATACCTTTTCCCATTCATTTATTTATTTAAATTTATTTGAGAGAGAGAGAGCTTCCATCTGCTGGTTCACTCCCCAGATGCCCGCAACACCAGGCCTAGACCAGGAGCAGGCACTCAATCCTGGTCCCCCACTTAGGTGACAGGGACCCAATCATTTTGAGCCATCACTGCTTCCTCAGTCTGTGCCAGCAGGAAGCTAGAGTCAGGAGCCAGGGGTGGGCATTGAACCCAGGCACTTGAATTTGGGATGCAGCTTCCCCAAGCAACTTGGCCAAATTCCCATGCCACTTTTCCCTTTCTTTCTTTTTTTTTTTTTTTTTAAAGAAATTGTCTTATCTATAAGCAAACAAAAATGACAAAACAAGCAGTGAGGTGAGAGGTCGGGTGGGGTGGGTGCAGGAGGGAGTCAGCGCTGTAGCCGACCTGTGTACAGTTACTGTGTACCTGTTGACAATTTCCTCACCCTCAGCCAGGCTGGCCACTGCCACTGCCAGGTCTGCCTCTCCCAGCGTGTGTCCCCGCGTGTCTGTGCACCTTTGTCTCCTTGTGGAACAGAGCTCACGAGGGACTGCTGTAGGAAATGCCGGCTGCGTCCCTCACCATGGCCCCTCACAGGGTACACACTCCTCCTTGTCCAATAATTGCCAGGGGCAGTTCCAGATTCCTGGACACAGAACCCCTGTTCTCTTGTCCTCCTGGCTGGCCTCTTTGCAGAAGCCACCACAAATCCTCTGCTGAGCCCTGGTGTCAGAGCACCAAGTTCACGGAGCAGAAGTCCCCAGTCCTCCATGGAGCTGCCTGGCTCAGTGCCATGAGGAGCCCTCTGTGAGAAGGGATGATTGGCATAAAGTAAAACCATATCCACGTACTGAGCCTTGTCTCCCCTCCTCCTCACCCTTTACCACCATTGGAGAAAGGGATGTTTTTCCACATTCTTCAGGAATGTTCTGTGGCTTCTCCTAGTGTTCCCAGTCAGCTGTTTCCACCTCTTCCTGGCACGCTCCTGCGCTTGTCTGCCATCCTTGCCAACTTTTCAGCAAGATGCTTACAAAAGGTCTTGCAATAAGTGTTTGCCTGTGTTAGTCAGCTTCAGTTTCTTAGACTCATCCTGGGTTTGTTTCATGTGTTACCATTTACAGAGGACTTTATTAGGTTGTATTAGGGGCACTTGCCCTTGACAGCATTCCTCGGGGGAGGTTGTGGCCCCTGTTTAGCATGTGGAAGCCTGGAGAGGCAGAGTGACTCAGCCATCCACAAAGGGCAGGCTTGCAAGTAGACTTCTGAATCCAGAGGCTTCCCACTGCGCACGAGCCATCTTCTCGCATTCAGAACATTCCCTGGACACAGCCTTGTTTTCGTTGTGCTGACTTTCTCACTCCCCTGTGGCGTGGAAATCCCTTGCTCCAACCAGAGTCAGTTTCCTGTTGCACGCCTCCGTCACACCTTGCGCTT